GTCACAGCGTCGGACGTAGTGTTTCTCTGATGTGTCAGAGTGGTGGATATAGTGTTACTCTGAGGTGTCACAGTGGTGAACGTAGAGTTACTAGGAGGTGTGACAGTGGTGGACGTAGTGTTACTAGGAGGTGCCACAGTGGTGGACGTAGTTTTATTTTGAAGTGTCACAGTGGTGGAAGCAGTGTTAGTCTGAGGTGTCACAGCGGTGGACGTAGTGTTACTCTGAGGTGTCACATTAGTGGACGTAGTGTTACTCTGAGGTGTCACAGTGGTGGACGTAGTGTTACTCTGAGGTGTCACATTAGTGGACGTAGTGTTACTCTGAGGTGTCACATTAGTGGACGTAGTGTTACTCTGAGGTGTCACAATGGTTGACGTAGTGTTACTCTGAGGCGTAACAGTGGTTCACGTAGTGTTTCTGTGAGGTGTCACAGTAGTGGATGTAGTGTTACTGTGAAGTGTCACAGTGGTGAACGTAGCGTTAATCTGAGGTGTCACATTCGTGAACGTAGAGTTACTATGAGGTGTCACAGTGGTGGACGTAGTGCTACTATGAGTTGTCACAGTGGTGGACGTAGTTTTATTTTGAAGTGTCACAGTGGTGGAAGCAGTGTTAGTCTGAGGTGTCACAGCGTCGGACGTAGTGTTTCTCTGATGTGTCAGAGTGGTGGATATAGTGTTACTCTGAGGTGTCACAGTGGTGAACGTAGAGTTACTAGGAGGTGTGACAGTGGTGAACGTAGTGTTACTAGGAGGTGCCACAGTGGTGGACGTAGTTTTATTTTGAAGTGTCACAGTGGTGGAAGCAGTGTTAGTCTGAGGTGTCACAGCGGTGGACGTAGTGTTACTCTGAGGTGTCACATTAGTGGACGTAGTGTTACTCTGAGGTGTCACATTAGTGGACGTAGTGTTAGTCTGAGGTGTCACATTAGTGGACGTAGTGTTACTCTGAGGTGTCACAGTAGTGGACGTAGTGTTACTCTGAGGTGTCACAATGGTTGACGTAGTGTTACTCTGAGGCGTAACAGTGGTGGACGTAGTATTACTGTGAGGTGTTACAGTGGTTCACGTAGTGTTACTGTGAGGTGTCACTGTTGTTGACGTAGCGTTACTCTGAGGTGTCACGGTGGTGGACGTAGTGTTACTCTGAGGTGTCACAGTGGTGGACGTAACGTTAGTCTGAGGTGTCACAGTTGTGAACGTAGCGTTACTCTGAGGTGTCACAGTGGTGAACGTAGAGTTACTAGGAGGTGTCACAGTGGTGAAGGTAGCGTTACTATGAGGTGTGACAGTGGTGGACGTAGTGTTACTAGGAGGTGCCACAGTGGTGGACGTAGTTTTATTTTGAAGTGTCAGAGTGGTGGAAGCAGTGTTAGTCTGAGGTGTCACAGCGGTGGACGTAGTGTTACTCTGAGGTTTCACATTAGTGGACGTGATGTTACTCTGAGGTGTCACAGTGGTGGACGTAGTGTTACTCTGAGGTGTCACATTAGTGGACGTAGTGTTACTCTGAGGCGTAACAGTGGTGGACGTAGTGTTACTGTGAGGTGTTACAGTGGTTCACGTAGTGTTAATGTGAGCAGTCATTGTTGTTGACGTAGCGTTACTCTGAGGTGTCACGGTGGTGAACGTAGCGTTAATCTGAGGTGTCACATTCGTGAACGTAGTGTTACTATGAGGTGTCACAGTTTTGGACGTAGTGTTAGTATGAGTTGTTAAAGTGGTGGACGTAGCGTTTGGCTGAGGTGTCACAGTGGTGAACGTCGAGTTACTCTGACGTGTCACAGTGGTGAACGTAGCGTTACTATGAGGTGTCACAGTGGGTGACGTAGTGTTACTAGGAGGTGACACAGTGGTGGACGTAGTTCTATTTTGAAGTGTCGCAGAGGTGGAAGTAGTGTTAGTCTGAGGTGTCACAGTGGTGGACGTAGTGTTACTGTGAAGTGTCACAGTGGTGGACGTAGTGATACTGTGAGGTGTCACAGTGGTGGACGTAGTGTTACTCTGAGGTGTCACAGTGGTGGACGTAGTGTTACTCTGAGGTGTCACAGTGGTGGACGTAGTGTTACTGTGAAGTGTCACAGTGGTGGACGTAGTTCTATTTTGAAGTGTCACAGTGGTGGACGTAGTGTTACTCTGAGGTGTCACAGTGGTGGACGTAGTGTTACTCTGAGGTGTCACAGTGGTGGCGTACGTAGCGTTACTGTGAGGTGTCACAGAGGTGGACGTAGTGTTACTCTGAGGTGTCACAGTGGTGGACGTAGTGTTACTCTGAGGTGTCACAGTGGTGGACGTAGTGTTACTCTGAGGTGTCACAGTGGTGGACGTAGTGTTACTGTGAGGTGTTACAGTGGTTGACGCAGTGTTAATGTGAGGTGTCACAGTGGTGGACGTAGTGTTACTGTGAAGTGTCACAGTGGTGGACGTAGTGTTACTCTGAGGTGTCACAGTGGTGGACGTAGTGTTAGTGTGAAGTGTCACAGTGGTGGACGTAGTGTTACTGTGAAGTGTCACAGTGGTGGACGTAGTGTTACTATGAGGTGTCACAGTGGTGGACGTAGTGTTACAGTGTGAAGTGTGACAGTGGTGGACGTAGTGTTACTCTGAGGTGTCACAGTGGTGGACGTAGTGTTACTGTTAAGTGTGACAGTGGTGGACGTAGTGTTTCTGTGAGGTGTCACAGTGGTGGATGTAGTATTACTCTGAGGTGTCACAGTGTTGGACGTAGTGTTACTATGAGGTGTCACAGTGGTGGACGTAGTGTTACTATGAGGTGTCACAGTGGTGGACGTAGTGTTACTCTGAGGTGTCACAGTGGTGAACGTAGCGTTAGTCTGAGGTGTCACAGTGTTGGACGTAGCGTTACTCTGAGGTGTCACAGTGGTGGACGTAGTGTTAGTACTGAGGTGTCACAGTGGTGGACGTAGTGTTACTCTGAGGTGTCACAGTGGTGGACGTAGCGTTAGTCTGAGGTGTCACAGTGGTGGACGTAGTGTTAATCTGAGGTGTCACAGTGGTGGACGTAGTGTTACTCTGAGGTGTCACAGTGGTGGACGTAGCGTTACTCTGAGGTGTCACATTCGGTGAAGGTAGTGTTACTATGAGGTGTCACAGTGGTGGACGTAGTGTTACTGTGAGGTGTTACAGTGCTGGACGTAGTGTTAATGTGAGGTGTCACAGTGGTGGACGTAGTGTTACTCTGAGGTGTCACAGTGGTGGACGTAGTGTTACTCTGAGTGTCACAGTGGTGGACGTAGTGTTACTCTGAGGTGTCACAGTGGTGGACGTAGTGTTACTCTGAGGTGTCACAGTGGTGGACGTAGTGTTACTGTTAAGTGTGACAGTGGTGGACGTAGTGTTACTCTTAAGTGTCACAGTGGTGAACGTAGTGTTACTCTGAGGTGTCACAGTGGTGGACGTAGTGTTACTCTGAGGTGTCACAGTGGTGGACTGGTGTGAACGTAGCGTTAGTCTGGGGTGTCACAGTGGTGGACGTAGCGTTACTCTGAGGTGTCACAGTGGTGGACGTAGTGTTACTCTGAGGTGTCACAGTGGTGGACGTGGTGTTACTTTGAGGTGTCACAGTGGTGGACGTAGTGTTACTCTTTGAGGTGTCACAGTGGTGGACGTAGTGTTACTCTTGAGGTGTCACAGTGGTGGACGTAGTGTTACTATGTGAGGTGTCACAGTGGTGGACGTAGTGTTACTCTGAGGTGTCACAGTGGTGGACGTAGTGTTACTCTGAGGTGTCACAGTGGTGGACGTAGTGTTACTCTGAGGTGTCACAGTGGTGGACGTAGTGTTACTATGAGGTGTCACAGTGGTGGACGTAGTGTTACTATGAGGTGTCACAGTGGTGGACGTAGTGTTACTCTGAGGTGTCACAGTGGTGGACGTAGTGTTACTGTGAGGTGTCACAGTGGTTGACGTAGTGTTACTCTGAGGTGTCACAGTGGTGGACGTAGTGTTACTCTGAGGTGTCACAGTGGTGGACGTGACGTACGTAGTGTTACTATGAGGTGTCACAGTGGTGAACGTAGCGTTACTCTGAGGTGTCACAGTGGTGGACGTAGTGTTACTCTGAGGTGTTACTGTGGGTGACGTAGTGTTACTATGAGGTGTCACAGTGGTGACGTGGTGTTCCTTTGAAGTGACACAGTGGTGGACGTAGTGTTACTCTTTGGTGTCACAGTGGTGGACGTAGTGTTACTCTGAGGTGTCACAGTGGTGGACGTAGTGTTACTATGTGGTGTCACAGTGGTGGACGTAGTGTTACTCTGAGGTGTCACAGTGGTGAACGTAGCGTTAGTCTGAGATGTCACAGTGATGAACGTAGTGTTACTCTGAGGTGTCACAGTGGTGGACGTAGTGTTACTATGAGGAGTCACAGTGGTAGACGTAGTGTTACTATGAGGTGTTACAGTGGGTGACGTAGTGTTACTCTGAGGTGTTACAGTGGTCGACGTAGTGTTACTGTGAGGTGTTACAGTGGGTGACGTAGTGTTACTCTGAGGTGTTACAGTCGGTGACGTAGTGTTACTCTGAGGTGTTACAGTGGGTGACGCAGTGTTACTATGAGGTATCTCATCAGTGGTGAACGTAGCGCTACTCTGAGGTGTCACAGTGGTGGACGTAGTGTTACTCTTTGGTGTTACTGTGGGTGACGTAGTGTTACTATGAGGTATCTCAGTGGGTGACGTAGTGTTACTCTGAGGTGTCATGATAATGCTGCATATGATAATGATGATGTAGTGCATGTTGACATGACAGTTCATCAGTACTTATTGCATCTGAATATTGCTAATGTCGTCGTTTTCTACTTCGTACAAATAAAACGCACAACCCCTTTGAGCCTAAAATGAATACATTATGCTTATAATGCAGATAGCGCTCGTTTCTGGTTAAGTATAAAAGGAAAAAAATGTTGGTTTAACAGTCCAAATCTCTGTGAACTTGGAATCAACTGACTATAAAACAATTACATGGTGTCGCTTTCAGGAGTTTTACCTGGCGAGAGCTGCGAGAACCAAACCTCATGTGTGGAGAACGCTGTGTGTGTATCGACTAATTACACCTGTCAGTGTAGGCCAGGATGGATGGTGAATGGATCGATGTGTACGCCAAAAGGTAATACTAGTGATCACAGAAGAGTGTGCATATATTTGGGAATTTAAAGAAAGAAGCTAGAACTATTACTGTTTTAACATATACAAATATATATTATACAGAGACAAGATACGTGGAGAATCTAAAAGCTTCTAGTAAGACATCGTCATCAGTTCTTGTGACATTTGATGGACCCTTGGATTACAACAAGTTCAAGCTTGATGTCAATACCTCTACTCCAAGGTGTATTGTCCTTCGTCGAAATGCTTCACAGGAACACTGTAGCGCGGTAAGGGAATGTTGTTCATTAAGTTTGTACATTAATGTTGTCCCTTGCAGATATAAAGGAGATTTAACCAGAATAAATATCTGAACTCATATTTTATATATCTATTGCTTATACACCTGCAGAAATCACTTGTGTGTAAAAGATCGTAAAACGAGGGCAATACGATTACGAAATACTTCGTCAAAGCCTTATTTGACTGGCGCAAGTATATTTTATAATATTAATGACGATAACACTTTTCAATGTGAACGTAGATGTAACGAAATTAGTTTAGTGAATATGTAGTCAGCTGAAAGGCAAGTATTATCTTTTTTCACAGTGCAAAATTGAAGACATTGAGCCACCTAGAGACAAGCGCATAGAATACAACGTGACAGGTTTAGAGGTCTTCACCGTGTATGAGATCAAGGTGGCGATGGTAAAGTGCAACAATGGAAGCTCTGAAGGCAGTCGCCCAGCAACTGTAACAGAGCGAACTGATACAGCAGGTATACGGCGTGTCAGGATAACTAACTTACTCATCAGTTGCTGGTCTAGTTATAAGTTACGACTCTTTCCCCCATTTTACTGCGTGCGTGTGCTTACGTATTCATTTATTAATTTCCTCCAATGTATGAGGACGTTATCTGCTGCATGTTGCGTTTATTTCTGTAATGACAATTTCAATGATAATCGTATGCACTTAAAGTTCACCTTACAAAAGTACAAACTGAAGAATCTGTAAGCTAAATATCATTGACACATCAATATACACCTAACGGTTTCACTGTATAGTATTTAGTTCATTTTACCTGTATATCTGATTCTGTTGAAAGTTCCCAACGTTGTGAACGGCTTGACTACATGCGACTCCTGCCTCGTGTGTGCAATGTGGGCCCCCCCGGACCCATACCCAGGGCCTGTCACATACAGTGTAGATATATTTGATGAAGTCAACATGAAAGTGGTGAAAGAAACCAGTAAAAACGGTATGCCTTTTTATCTTAACCCCCGGCATCAAGAAAGATAATCACGGTGTATATATACCAATTGACAGTACATTGATTTGATCTTGAGTGGTGAAAAAATACTATATCATACTTTGTTTAAGGTAAATAAGTTCTCGAGAGTCGTTAAAAAACTGGTGTGTATTTACGTTTAAACAACAGCCAAGTAATATGGTTATGTTTAGACAACAGCGCATTGATATGGTTATGTTTCAATACAACTGTTATTTATGAAGTTAATGTTTGATGTACATGCGTGTTGCAGCAACATCAGTGTGCTACACAAAAGAAGATGTCAGTCCTTTCTTGAGGTACACCATTGGGGTGTCAGCCTTTACCACAGCTGGCCAAGGAATGGAGAAACGAACGACAAGCATGGAAAGTAATGTGCTACCACAGACATTGTCTTATTGTATAGACATGAAAGAAACAACCCCATCATTGAATATTTGCAAATATTAATAATGTTTTGTACATCTTGTTAGGACACTGCATGCCTGTATGTTATTGTGTTTTATTTGCATGTTGTCCCTTATGTTTTTATGTTTTTAACGTCTTTTGAATTACATATATCTGCTTTCAGTTCATTTCCTTGAAATCAAGATCATCACAGCAGAAGGGGTGTGCAGCAGTCATTCTGGCACTACAGGGAACTACAGGCAGATGGCAATACAATGGTCAGAACCAGACATTGGCTCAACGATAACCAGCTATTTAGTTACCGCCAACAAGGAAGTGAGTTCATAACTGGTTCAACTATATACATAGCAGCATACCTTGTAGATAACACTCTCGTTTGAAATGAACACAAACAATTACTACTGACACTGGGCAAATTTTGATTTTCTTATTTAGCTGCGGTACATCAAGTATGTTTCCGTCATCACTTCCGGCTTTTGACTATATTTCATGCCCCTATTTCAGGCGCACAATATTCCATCGAAGGCAGATGGAGCGAGTACGGACTACAGAGATGTGTTTAATGTGACTCCAGGTCAGACATATACCTTCAAGGTGAGGACATGCCCAGTCGTACACAGTCATGAATTTATTACACTGTATATGTTCAAACTATAATTTTATTTCTGTCCTCTCTTTATGCAAAATTTAATTTCAATAAATGAAAACATGAAACTGACATGATGAGAATTATAACACGTCCTGAGTGAAATTTTCTTATTGTTAAAAATTTAATCTAAAAACAGAATGATATATATGCTATCCATAATTATGTTTCAAACAACTTTGCACTGTATTACAAGCTACTGTTTACATACACTTGTTTCATATGCAGATTCAAGTACGTCACAATGGTACTTTGTACAATGTATCCTCAGAATCGGAGTGCCGTGCACCTATCGGAGGTATGTTCTTCATTGTTCCTCCAGTGCAGAGACAAACGACTGTATGTCATGAATGTGTGGGTGGATGGTTATGTTATCTACAACTGCTTTGCCGCGTTCAGATGCACTGTGCTTGAAGACCAAGAAGTATGTACCAAGAACTACATATTATATAACAGTGGGTGAGTGAGTGAGTGAGCGAGTTTGGGCCTTAAGCAGTAAGGCAACATAACTGCGGAAGGCACCATAAATATGCTTCACACATTGTACCCATGTGGGAAATCGAACCCAGGTCTTCAGCGTGAAAAGCGAACGCTTTAATCACTAGGCTACCCTACTACCTCTGAAAAAACAGGTTGAATCAAACTTTTTTAAACCTTAAAGTCGTGACATTAAAGTACTGTCGAAAATAGAAAAAAACCCTGTTTTTTCGCACTTATATCTACAATTTAAGTAGTTAATATGTGAAAGTGTGAAATATCTGTTAAACTAAGTTCGGCCTAAATGCATTCTAAGTGGTAGGGAGATAGGAAATGTAGAAAAATGACTTTACTGAGGAGAGATCAGTGCAGAAATAAGCAGCAAATTAGTGTGCGATGATATTGTATTACAAAGGACACTTTTTATATGCTCATTTTAAAATTAAACTTAGCTTCATTATAGATGATAACTGACGTAAAAATAATAACTTTAATACTGAAACTATTAAGGATGTAGCTACCATGGAGTCTCACTATCACTAAAAAAAGAAACAGGTAGGAGGGATCGTCTCAAACGGTGTGTCAGGACGGGTGTCACAGACGGCGGTTGGGGTCGGGCTGGAGGATAGAGATATCAGCTGAGATAAGTTAATCCTTTATATAGGGGAATTAAACTTGGCAAGTAACAATTTACAAATAATACCCAGTCCTGTCAATCATCACGTGGTCATGCCACCTATATATTTTGAGACATTTAAAACGATGGCTGATTTAAGCTTTTCTATGGGTATCATACTCTTTTACATATTTCAACATAAACTTTATGACAGAAAGACACGTAAGATGTTAGTCAACTGATGAGACATATTCAGCACACATGAGAAAGCATAAATATCTTTGAGATGACCCCTTGTGGCCGTAGGCAGCACATGCATTTCATGCCAGTGAGTCGACTGTCCGTCGTCATACCTGGCTGAGCGACCTAATTGCCATCTATAATCTGATCTATTGTTTTCAGCAGCTATTCGTATTTTTTCTAAGTTTTGCCCGATTCTACGAGTAAACATGCTTTTCTGGCTATCCTATTACGCATCCCACTGAACGCCCAGTTAGGCCGAAGTGGGTTATTTCGACATATGCTATTTGCAATTGTGTAAATTTTAGGGATACAGAGTAACAGCCTAAAAACAGTTTTTGTCTATTCCCGACAGTACTTTAGTTCATATTTGGGAGATGAGCCTATCGGAGGTTTCGATGTGATGAGATGAAATAAAGTTCAACGTCACCTTCAAGATGGACTCTTCTGTGTCTTGTTTGTGGCTTGTGGCTTGTGGCCTGTGGCTTGTGGCATGTGGCTTGTGCTGTGCAGGCATGTTGTAGTGGTCGGGTCCAATACAGTCAGTCAATTTTACAGTACTCGTCCACTGAGATATGATGTTTAATATGGATGCCCAACTCAGACGCAGTAAAATGACTACAGGCCATCAAAAACCTTGTTTAATCCTCTAATGCGTTAGGGTAGGTAACAACAAGTACCATCTTTAACGTCTTTTTGTATTACGCGGCCGTGGATCGAACTGCCAAACCTCTTTCCATTTAATCACGAAAGAGTTCAACTCAGAAAAAGTCCAGGCAGAACCACAGGTATCGATAACTGACTTGAAAAGTTATAAAATAGAAACAGTGAATTTGGGCCAATTTGGGCCATTATCTTGATCACTGGTGCTTCATACCTGGAAACATTTGCCAATCTTTTCTGACGCCTTAGGTTCTTCGACCCATATTAAAGAACATTGATGTGATGACGAATTGAACGTGCAACACGTACATAGCCTTTTATTTTCTATATTGCAGTTCCTCCAAAATGGCCAGAGGGCATACAACCATCCCCCGTCGTCACCGACACTCAGTTCACATTAAACATTGATTTTTTTAATAACGGTACGAATGGCCCCATAACAAAACGTCGCTTGTACATGTCACTTCACAAGAAAATGCTGGAAGTAGCAGGTATGTAACATAAGCAATTTGTTTTGTCACAATTTTATACATGTGTTTTAAAGACCGACGATATATCATTGCAAACCAATGTTTAATGTTGTAATGTTCGAATATTTCAGATCACCAAGCTGGAGATATGAGGGCACCAAGTATCGGGTGTTGTAGTGGTAAACATTTTCTCCACTCTATCAATTCAAGACTTACCTCCCTTTCCAAAGCTTCCCTTTGTGTATGTCCCTATTTTTTATCCAACACATTCAAATACCTTGATAGTTATGTCATCTATAAGTAACATTAATTTTAATGAATTATATTTCATGGAAATCTTTATCATATAAACTTGCTGAAAACAACTGTGCTTTATTTGTTTCGTCGGTGCTACAGATGTGGAAAACAATAATTATTGTTGATTTTAAAACATATTATCAAGTTTCTTCGGTGCTAGTTTATTCTGCCATACCTAGTTTCAGGAGGGTTCCTCGAAAACTGTAGGACTGGCTACTGTAGGACACACCTGGCACCAGACACAGTATATTAGTACGTAAATCGTTTGTCATTGAGTAATGTAAATTGTACAAGCAGCAGAATATAACTACCTCAATTACAATGTTATTTTCATTGATAATAAAATATGAATAATTTGAGTAGTCATTCTGCTTTGACAGGTATGGCACAAGGTAACTCTAATTTGTCCAAATGAAATATATGACTAGTTATACATGCATATAAATGCATACATACTTACATACATAGTTAAATATACCCAGAGGCAAAAGTTATTGTAACATGGACTGTTTTCATTTGTAATCTTGGGAATGATGTTTTGAATTTGAACCAACCAGACACTTGTCATTTCCACTGAATGCACTCTTAGGAAGTGCATAAATCAGACACAACACATCTAATCATCGTCTTGGGCCAGGATCGACATGCCACCACTTGGGGGAACTGACAGATAGTAAGGTAGACGCTTGCCCCAGACTGGTACCTCGCAGCGTGACATTGCTAGGCGATTCTACGAGAAACACTATTTGGCAATTACGGAGACGTTTCCATCAAAACAATCAAGTTTCGAACCATGCAAGTCCGACATAGGTTCCAGCCACAAATTCCCACTGCCCGTACCATACCCCCGCAACAGAGGTTTATCTGTTAGGCCTGCAAGGTGGACACAATCGGTGCTAACCATATGAACTTACTTGTCAACCCCCTCTTGTATTATTGCGTATGTCAGATCTGCCGTCCTTCTTGGTCGTTACTCTACCTTGAAACATTTGTATCTCTATGTAATAGCATATCATCCGTGGCAGTGAAAGTTTGTTCTTTGTATGTCACAATAACTTTTGCCTTTGATCATACACACATAGACACACACACGCGCGCACACACACACGTACACACCCAGACACGTGTGTCATAGAAAGTTATAGAAACATACATTGGTGTTCTTTGTTTTACAGTTACCTTGCTGTTGTTTGCACAGAGAAAGGTTGCAGGAATAGTCCAATATTTGACTTCCGAACAGATAAAGGTATGTAGTGCCACGATTGAGGGGAGCATTAGACTGTAGGGACATTGTACTACTCTGGATAAAGAATCAGCTGGGTTGTTGAAATTGGGTTTAAAGAATCTCCTGGCATGAGCAGTGTGTTCACGACGTGCAAGCTGTTATGTGAATATTTGTGGTTAAAGGAGAACTAATTGTAAAGGATTTCCCTTATTTACAGTTATTTATAATTTTGACTTTGAACATGTGAAGTAAAAGAACTTATTGAAAAGGATTTGTGCAATTTCGTGTTTGTAACTATTTACATTTTGACTTTGTATATTTTTATATTTATTGTAAATCTCCATACATATATTAATCTTGACAGATAATACCACCAGTGTCGTGGTCGCAATGCTGGTAACGTCCATTATTGCTGCTGCCATCATCATCGGTGCTGTCCTGCTTTGGTGTTCCAAGTAAGTGATATTAGTAAGCTTTGTTATCTTCCACTAAACTGCCAGTCGAAAGGTTAACGAAAACATATTATAAAAGTTAAAATTGTCTGCACGATGTATGTGCTCATGGCATCGATCAAGCACTACACACGTTTTTGTATGCTACTGTTGGTAGTTTCGGAATAGTATCATTTTATTGGTTGAATGGTTAAGTTGCCTGTGCAACAAACTTGCTAATATACAGTAATGTACTCGCGCCATACAATCACATTGAATATATATCCACTTACGCCAGATGCCTCGTCTGGAAAACACATCTCCAAGATGGTGGTGACTGACTCCACGAGCTTAAGTATGCAACACTTACTTAGTATGCCAACATCCACATGCTAATTTGGGTTCGAGTTTCCAACTAAAAATATTATTTAGATATAAAATTAAGATTCATTTCAACATTTCTTCTCAATCATGGAGCGACGGGGGTAGCCTTGTGGCTAAATCCATGTTGAAGACCCTGGTTCGATTAACCACATGGGTACAATGTGTGAAGCCCATTTCTGGTGTCCCATTCTGTGATATTGCTGGAATATTGCTAAAACCCTCATAAGACTTAACTAAATTCACTGACAGGTAACTCAATGCCTTTCTAGAATACATGATGTCATAAGTATTAGAAAATGGCTCATTAACGCATGATATAGTCGGAGTCGAACTCAAGACCATAGAGGTTTCTTATGGTTATGAGCATGGTTTGGGGTCGCGCTTTATAGATTCTTTTCTGAATATGGAATGTTTTTTCTTTATAAAAACATATGTTTTAAATGTTCTTTATTCCAATGACGATTATCTATTCCTTAGAAAAAGGAACACCAACACCAGCCACAGTGATGTGCGGGATGGAAGGGTTGTGTATAGAGTTCACTACAGAAATAACGGTAATGACTCGTCGACGGGGGATTACTTCTCCCCTACTGTGGAACGCCACAGCCCAGAATATGAAGAATTACATGTGTATGAGGAAGTTAACTAGTCTGCTGTCCACGCATCGCAATTGTCCATATCCCATAGTACTCGTAATACATCCACAGGTTGCAATGTTGTGACATAGATATACATGTACACTAGACAACAAAGAACGAAATCAAATACTGCTAGTTTCCATTGTCATTCGTTGTCATTCTCAGTACAGGGGTATCTCCATTCAGATTAGTTTCAGTAGTCAGATGTTCCAATATTTGCTGGTCAAACACCTCTATGCAGTTTCGGGAATGTTGGACTTGAGAGAAGAGCTGCATGCTTTCTAGAGTAATGCACGGACAGATGCACAGTAGCATAGTACCTATCAATGTTTTCAATGTAATGTAATGTAACTGTAATTGATGTAATGATATTGGAATGGTTGTTTGATAGTCAGTCCAGTAGTTGGTCAATAAATAAGGAAACATAAAACTTATACACATCATCTCCTCGTTTTTTTGCTGTAAACGAGGTTTAGGTGGAACGTGATTGTTAATACTCTCGCTTGGTCCCGTAGGAATGTCCATCTATACGTACTCTACTAGCTAAATACAGTGAGTGAGTGAGTTTAGTTTTACGCCGCACTCAGCAATATTCCAGCTATATAGCGGCGGTCTATAAATAATCGGGTCTGGACCAGACAATCCAGTGATCAACAGCATGAGCATCGATCGACACAAATGGGATACGATGGCATGTGCACCAAGTCAGCGAGCCTGACCACCCGATCCCGTTAGACGCCTCTTACAACAAGCATGGGATACTGAAGATCAATTCTAAACAGGATCTCCACGGGTAGCTAAATACGGTGAACAAGAAGTCCGTATCTATATAGTTTTATGTTTCCTCATACATTGGAATAGTATCACAGACCTGTTTGAAACTACTCTCATGCTGTTGCGAAAGTAATTATTCCGTACACAGTCAATCCTCAGTATGTGCATATACTGCCATAACAGCAAGTGCACGCATCGATTGCACATTGGTGCAATCTACTGTCAGCTGCACAATAGTGGAATCTACTACCGAGACCTTACAGCGCTAAACACTAAGCAAAGGTTGAACACAAGTATGCCATTTATTCAAACTAAGATGTATAATTTTATGAATGATTTACGTTTTGTAAATATGTTTAAAATATGCCAATTGTTCATAAATATATTCTTTGTTGATACAGCAATTTCAGCCAGCTTAGTTTTACAAATTATGTAATTGCGCCTTTTATATTTTGTACTGTACAAATGTAAATAGAATTTTTCCAAGGGTTACCGCTCTTGAATCAAACCTTGTCCGCAAACCATATAACGTGTTGGTATATAGAAGCTGAGAAGTAGAAAATTGACAAATATTATGGACAACAGCGTTTTTTTTAATTTTAAGTGCGGCGTTTCGATACAGATTCTTGTACCGTTGTCAAGCAAGAATGTTGAAAGCTTGACAGTACCAGAATCGGTATCGAAACGTCGCACTATGGAATGGAAGACGTTGTCATTATGATAAAATAATATTTTGATACGAAATGATAAGCATGAGAAGTAGTTTGAAGAATTCATTTTTGAGCAGTTTTGCAGCGTTGCTTCATTGATTATGTAATGTGCAATTGTAATTTACATGTTTTGTTAAACGTGATGAAATGAATTCATTTGAGGACAAATCTTAGCTAAGATTAAATTGATGTATGTTTATATGTATCATCTGTAAGATGCGACTTGCTAGATTTGTTGGTCATGCGCGGAATCTCGGTTAATAGCTATTATCGTACCCTGATGACATGTGACGTTTCGTTCAGATTTACAGACTTACGTCACTTAGCATGATTACTACTGAGTGCGGCTTTAAAACAAAAGAAAGAAACACATCATGTTGAGTATCTTCAAGTTAATACTTCTTCCTGAGTTTTTCAGTGGTTAGAGGTTGTAGAAACATAGAGGAATGTACAGTGAGTAAGTGAGTTTACGCCGCTTGTAGCAATATTTCAACAATATCACGGCCGGGGACACCAGAAACGGCCTTCACACATTGTACCAATCGAATCGAACCCGGGTCTACATCGTGACGAGCGACCGCTTCAAACCACTAGGCTACCCCACCGCCCCAGGAATGTACAGAGTAATCTTAGATGTCAATGTATTTTCTTACAATGCATTGTAGCACAGGATGTACTCTCAAGGGAGAAATGCTAAACTGAGTGAACTGACAATGAATACTAGTTATGACGCTGCTAGATCTCTCCTATAACTGTCTAAACAACTTGATTGTTATTCTGTGCAAACGTGCTTGAAAAAGAGCCACGCCTCAGATGTCTATTCCCTTTCACATGTGTGTTATACCTAGTTTTACTGTACATAAGTTTAATATGCCGTACAAATTGTATTCTTTTGTTTTCATGAAGTGCATAATTCTAGTTTTTCTGTACATAATTTTAAGAAACATACTGCTCAATCTGTTGATGTTCGTTTTTATGAAGTGTATAAGTCTTGTTTTATTGTATATGCATAATTCTAGTTTTTCTGTACATAATTTTAAGAAACATACTGCTCAATCTGTTGATGTTTGTTTTTATGAAGTGTATAAGTCTTGTTTTATTGTATATGCATAATTCTAGTTTTTCTGTACATATTTTTAAGAAAGATGCTGCTGAAAGTGTTTACTTTTGTTTTCATCAAGTGGATAATTCTATTTTTATTGTACATCATTTTAAGAAAGACGCTGATCAAACTGTTTATTTGCATGAAGTCTTTTCATGAAGTGTGTAATGCTAAACATTATTCTACATAAACTTTAAGGTACGCGCTGATCAAACCGTTTCTCTTATCTATATATATTGTTTCTTACCAAAGCTTGTTATTACAAAGGAAATAAATAAAAACATTCGCTTTTACTTCAAGTTGGTTTTCATTTTAGCTGACTCTAGATATTTACACTCCTGCCATTTTGAAATGATTGTATGTATCTTGCACAGATTGGCTCTGCAAGTGAATACCTGGGCCGCCCCACAGAGTAATTGCTTTGGTTATGATAGTCAGATGCTGGGATCCCAGGTATAAGGCCCACCTGCACAAAGGCTGTAACATATGTTCTATTTGGGATTACACTTAAAGTACAGATTCTAGTACTTTGGTTGGGTAGAGTCCCATCCTGCTTTACCTCTGAGGGTGTGGGTTCGAATCCCGGATGGGACTCAACCAAACAGAAGTACTAGAGTCTGTACTTTACTAAGGAACTGTAATCACAAATATAACATATGTTACATTTGACCACTTTCTAAGTGGCATTGGGTAAACAAAGCTGAGGTTGTTTTCAGTGTATGTTAAGTATGGGAGATGCGATGGTCTTATCTCTAAGGCTGTTTTCAGTGTATGTTAAGTATGGGAGATGCGATGGTCTTATCTCTAAGGCTGTTTTCAGTGTATGTTAAGTATGGGAGATGCGATGGTCTTATCTCTAAGGCTGTTTTCAGTGTATGTTAAATATGGGAGATGCGATGGTCTTATCTCTAAGGCTGTTTTCAGGACCAGGATCCAGATTAACACAGGTGGTTTGATCCACTGACAGCGTTATATCAAAATGACGTTTGGCGATGGTACTTGATGTTACCCTGACCAGAGTT